TTTGGCCATCACACTGCTTCGGTATTCTTAAATTGGCTGCCACATGAGCTGGTTTTTGGTTATATAAACAGTCAAGCCAGAGCTGTTTCATGGGAAAGCAATGATGACAGGAGAAAGCAATGCTCAACAGTTGGAAGGACATCCACTCTCCATCAGTTATGCAACAGTGTGAAGAGCTTCCCTCTCTTTTCTATCTTTGGGCAAGCACCGCACCACGGAAAGCCCCAATAAAGAATTATTGAGATATCTGGACAGCATATACTAATGGAGATGTTTATTTCACATTGTTTCCTCTTTTAAGTAATGGTGAACACTTGCTCTTGTTGAGAATGTTTCCTGGGAATCACAGAGAAGGGTTTTGCCATTGCCTTCTTTCAGGATGTGTTTTCAACCTCCTAAACTATCTGCAGCCTTGAGATTTCCTGATCTTCTTCCAACCAAGTTCTAATGGGGCCCAATCCTGCTTCATATTATTTATTTATTTAAAACATTTATTTAACTGCCTATTTTATACCAAACTCTGATGAATAGAATAGAATAAGCTTTATTTGGCCAAGTGTGATTAGACACATATGGCAGTCCTAACTATCTGTTGGAGTCCATTCCTGTCTTGTGGGTTGCGGTTACCAAGCCACATATAGAAATTTTATAGAAATACAAATGACAGACTCAATAATTCCTCTGTAAAACTGTATTAACAGCTGGGGCATTCTGAACTTCCTGAACTGACTCAAGAAGAACATTCTTTGTTGTGCTTTTTAAAATGATGGCTCTAATCTTAGGGGTCCATTTCAAATCCTGGAAGATTATAGAACCTAAAAACTTGAAGGAGCCTACTGCTGATGCTGTGCCGTCAAATATAGTAAGAGGAGATAAAATACAAGACCTTCTCCTAAAATCCGCTCTAATCGCTTCATTAAGCATGTTTAGCTCCAGATGGTTCCTGTCGCAGCACAGGGCTAGTTGTTCAACCTCCCATCTACATGCCGACTCATCCTCATCTTGAATGAGACCAATGACTGTTGTTATCATCTTCAAACATCAGTACTTTAACAGAGGCATCCCTAAAGATGCATTCATTGGCCTAGAGAAAGAAGAGCAATGGAGAGAGCACCCAGCCTTGAGGGGTGCCAGTGCTAATTGCCCATGTATTAGATGTAATCTAAGTAAACTAAAGCACTATTAATAAAACAATATAAAAACCTTATTAAAACTATTAAAACCATTCTTCTTCTTGTGCCATATCTATGATCGGATGTTGGCGATCCTATTTTTTATCAACAGCCACACGAAAAAGTGCTGTTGAGTTTTGTTCTAACCAGTCCCTTAGATTTTGAAGCCATGATGTTCTTCTGCCTGGACCTCATTTGCCTTCAATCTTTCCTTGGAGAAGTAAGCTGTATTTTTCTGGATGTTGCGTCACATGTCCAAAATATTCTAACTTTTGCTTTTTTTATGGTTAAAACCAAACACATTAAAAACAAAAACCTGACCCCCAAGTTAAGCTGTTGACAGGAAATCACCTCATCCTAAACTAGCTTGGGGGAAAAGCCAAATCTTCAGTGCTTTTCAGAAGGCTTAAGAGAGCAGAGGCCTACTGAATTTCAGGGTGGAAAAGCTTTCTATGAGGCTGCTGGGATGCTTCCTAGCTCCATAAGGTGGCAATATGTAAGGGAAAGGACTAGGTTTAGGAGCATGCCCGTCCTATCTAATCTGGCAGGAGGGATAGATGTTCTTAGGAAAGGTGGTCCCACAGATAAGCTGGTCCTTTGCCATATAGGGTTTAAAGGTAATAATAGAAGTATTCCATGGATAAACTTAGGGGGCACCCATCATTGCACACGCCCACCGCATTCTGGATCAGTTGCAGCTTCTGAGTGGTCTTTAAGGGCAACTCCATATAGAGCACATTACAGTAATCCAAACAAGAAGAGACCAAGGCATGAGCGACCATGAGCAAGACCTCCCAGTCCAGGAAAAGTGCAAATGGCATTCCAGACAAATGTGTGGAAAGCCTTTTTCCCCAGGCATGGTTGCGGTTGCACCGGCTCCTTGAGTAGCAGCCCTGAGTCTAAGGTGGACCTGTAAATTATGTTTCAACATAGCCCAGGAGAGTATCGCCCTGCTCAGAGTCAAAGAGGAAACATCATCTGGGCCAGGTGAGGGGGAAGGGGAAGCAAAAGGCCACAGCCCTCGTTTTGCCAAGGTTGAGTCAAAGCAGGTTCCTGACCATCCAGGTTCTCACAGCTTCCAGGCACCCAGCCAGCACTGCCATAGCATCACTTGTATGGCTAGGGATGGAGAAATATAACTGGGTATCACCAGATGTTATTGGACCCCCATACTGGATGGTTTTGTGTGGAAACTAAAAAGGAGAGGCCTTGAGGTAGGTACCCCACATTGCACTGGCCTAGGACTCGACCAGTCCTCTCCTCCCAACCAGCCTCAGAGAAGTCCAGAAGGGCCCAAAAGGGTTGCTTCACCTCCATCCTGAACCCTCCAAACGTCATTGACGAGAGCGACCAATCCTGTTTCGGTGGTGTGCCCTGGCTTGAACCCAGGTTGGCAAGGGACAGGATAATCCACTTACTGTGAAGTAAACCGATTTAAATATTAATAATTCAACTGTATAATGAGACAGAAATCTTTATTGATTGATGCATTTTTATTTATTAAGATGGCCCATTGCCAGCTGCATTTGGACCCATGGCAATTGACATGGCCAAAACATCTGTTACGGGGAAGAAAAAAATTGATGTGTATTTGAACTGAAGAAGCTTCTTGGATGAGAAGTGAAATGTCTTCAAAAGAAAAACAAGGAAGGCCAGTTTGCCTCTAGAAAAAGCACCTTTGGGACAACCATGACCTGGACAACTGAGAATCTCCACAGACATCTGCCTGGGCAAGAATATTTCGAGTGTCAACTTTTCCTATTCATTTCTCCCCTTAATTCACTTAAAATAAAGGCAGGCACAACTAACTCTTGAGGAGGCCATCAAACAAGGCCGTCTGGCAACTCTTCTAAGAAAAGAAGTTGCCACTGCTGGAACCCTTAACCCACAAAGGAAACTGGATCCCAACCAGGGCTTCAAACAGGGGTCCATGATCCCAAACCCACTCAAGCCAAACGGTGGGATTCAAGCACCTCCTTAAAGAACTTCTGGGGAGCTTCGTCGCCCGTGCCTCAGGAACGGCGCTTCGCTCGGCCGGCTCCCCGCGTGACCTGCGCGTTGGCCAAAGTTTGCGCGCGCCCGTGTCTGTGTGTGCGTGCGTATGAGAGAGAGTGCGGGGGGGGGGGGGGGGGGGGGTAGAGATCCGCTTCTGGGGGGAAAACCCTCCTTGTTCTTGGAAGCGCAATTCGAGATGCTTAATTCCCGCTGCGCCGGCTCCTTTTTCCGCCTCTTTTCCACCCCCCACCCCCACCCCGCCACTCGCGGCACCTCCTTTCCCCTCCGGTATGCGAGGAAGGCCGGCCTCTCTGGAAGAGCTAATGGTGCAGTTGACTTCAGGGCGGGGAGGAGAAGGAGGAGCAGCCGCCGCGGATTAGAATGAAAACAGATCAGTCAATGGATTTGGGTTCCGGAGATCATCTGACTTGAGTTAACCAAGCCCCAAGTGGGTTTCAAAAGTTGGGAGAGAGAGAGAGAGAGAGAGAGAAAGAAAGAGACGGAGTTTCTTTTCTCCTCCCCTTTGGTTCGCCCCCTTTTCTTTTCTTGGTTTTCTTTCTTTTCTTTTTTTTTTGAACTTTCCTCAATTGGCGGCGGGCGAAAACAGAACTCTCCCCCTCTCCTCCTCCTCCTCCGTCTGCCTTAATTCTCCCCCGAGCGTGCGTGTATTGATGTCCTACGCAGGGATGATGGATGGCAGAAGGGCAGAAATACGCCAGCAACAGGGGCGCTCGACACTTTTTTAAACTCTCCCGGTCCCCCCCTTTCCCCCCCCTCTTTTTTTCCCCCCTGTGATCACCAATGAGCCTCAGAGCGGGAGAAAGAAGGGAAAAGAATCCGCGCGAGCGTCGGGAAGGGCCAGCAGCAGCACCAGCAGCAGCAGCAGACTTCGCCTTTCTTTAAAAAAAAAAAGTGTGGGGGGAGAAACAGAGCGACGGAGCACAAAAAAAAGGAAGCCCGGGCAAGTTGAACCCCACTCGCTCTTCCGCGCCCCTGAAGTGGACGATGGGGAGCTGGGCACGACGCCCTGCTCTGGAGCCGGAACAGCCGCTGGCCGCGTGAAAACTTCTCTTTAGGGGTAAAGTCGCAGAGCCGCTCGTGACTTTTTTTTTTTTTTGTGGGGGGGGTGGGGGAGGGAAGGTCCCCACTCTGGGCGTTTGGGCATTTCTCCTGAGGAGGGACTGGAGGGGGACGCGGCTTCCCGAGCGGAGATTCCTCGGCTGCCTCCCGAGAGATCGTGGACGAGGGAGAAACACCCGTTTTCCCGCCTCCTCCTCTTCTCGGGTGGGTGTGACGGCCCTTAGGAGGGGGGGAAAAAGTTGGGGCAGGTCGCTCTCCCCCCCCCCCCCCCACGCGCGGCCGCGCGCGCAAGGAAAAGGTTGCAGCGCGGAGAAAGAAGCGACTCCAAAAAAACTTAACGGCCGCGCCTGGCTGCCCCGCAGCAGCCGAAAGAGAGCGAGCTAGCCAGCCGGGGACGAATGGGACAGAAGAGGGGAAAGTGAGGAGGGGAGGGAGGTGAACTGGCTAGGCCCGATCCGGCCGTAATGTGAAGCCGAGGCGAAGGCAGAAGCCGACCTCCCGTCCCGCCGCGGGGCGGGGGAGCGGGGAGAAGTCTCCGCGGCTTCCGTCCTCTGGGCGGGCAGGTCGCCTTGAAACGGCCTCAGGTAGCGAGTCTGCCGGTCCATTCGGTGACCCGCGGCTCGATTCGGCTCCGTCTGCTCCCCTCTCTCCTCGTTGGTCCAATTTTGCAAGGGTTCAGCGGATGGGGGTGGGGGGTGGGGGAAGGGTCGTCCCGTACTTGGCCTGCCAGGCGTCTTCGGCGGCCCCCGGGGGACTATATTTTCCGGATACTTTGGAGCGAGTTTTGCAAGGATGCGTTTGCGTGCCTGTGTGAGTGTGTGCCGCTGCTTTGGGACGAAGCTGCTTCTCTGAAGTGCGTGCGGCGATCTAAGGCGGCAACCTCGTGGCGCTGTGATGTAACAGCCTGACAGTCACTTGTTTTGCAATGCAAGGTTTATTTTTGTATCTTTCCAGAGGCAGAGAGAACGTGGCCGAAGTTCCTGTAGGGCTATTCCCTGGGGGGTGGGGGGAGGTTGGGAATTGGGGGGGGGGGGAGAGGGAGGCGGGGAGAGAGAGAGAGGGAAAGACGAAGCGACCGACCGACCGACGGATACGAGTTAACTCCGCGCACTCGTTTCCCAGCCACGATGTTTTCTTAACCTCACCCACCCACCCCCCACCTTTCCCCACCATCCCATCCTTCCCCGGTCCCCGAAGCTATCTTTCAGCAAGTATATTTGCGAAGGAATTTCAATCATCCACCTCTGCAACTTGATCCGCGTGTGTCGGGGAGCGGCGTGGAGCGAACTGGGCGCCAATCCTATTAAGAGTTTTGAAGAGCAAAGGGGGGATATTCATTCTCTCTCTCTCTCTCTCTCTCTCTCTCTCTCTCCCTTTCTCCCACCTTGGGGCTGAAAACAATTGGAAAGAGAAGGGACTCAACTCGTCAGGGTGCCCGTTTCCACCGCAAAACGCACCCGGGGCTCGATTGCTGTCATTTGCTGGGGTTTCCCAGTTAGAAATACCCAGTCCCGGCAGGAACTGCACACTTTTTGCCTCCAAGGGTTGCTCGAGGCGCTTGTTAGGGTTTGTTTAACTAAAAGTCGGCCGAGACTGGAAACTCTTAGCGGTCAGCACCCGCAAAAGAATACGATGAATAATAGCCAGGGGCCTCTTGTACCTTTCCTTCTCTAGAGAGCTGAGGTTTGGAGGCAGCTGTGGGCTTGTAAAGTTGTGTGAGGAGAGAGATGCTGAGAAGTTTTTGGGCTGGTTTAAGCCGGGAACATCTGGCAAAATAAGAGTTTAGTTTCTCTAAATTTATCGCATCTACACATATGGCAGGAAACAAAAAACTTTTAAACACCTTTCATCATAAAGGCCACAAAACTAACTGTGTTGGACAAAGTTGAATAACAGAGAAAATAAAAATAAGCGAAGTCTTAAGTGGAAAGATTCTTCTGCACTTAAATGGGAAGTTAATTTTCTCTGCATAGTATATATACAGAAAGTATACTGATAAACTACACTACTCTTTATCATTGATTTTATGTCAGTTTACTCATCAGTAAGTCCAATATTTTTTTCCAAATGAGCATTTCTTTCTAACAAGTGTAAGAGACAGCAACATGGTAACAGTTCAGAATGTGTTTAACACAATAAAACTGAGTTTAGGTAAACTTTGGCAGTGCGCTCATTGCAGAATAGAGAAAGGAATCCCTAGCATAGATTGAGATCTATGAAGCTTTGTCTTTGAAATCCTTAACTACACACTTAGTTTACATATGTTTCTTTTATTTTATATGGTTTCTAAAATACTGGGTCTGGGTACATTTTTTTAGCTTTGGGTTTTGAAGTTCATGTATTATTGACTGCTACCAATAAAAAGAGCAATTGTAAAAATTACTCTCTTTTTTATGCAATTGGATCTCAGGGGATGGCCAAGAATTTTAAAGTAAACTTTCTCTTGCCTGCTGCATAAAATCGCATTTAAACAAATATTGTATTGGCATGTCCCTTGGACCCTGTGCCAAAAGGATAGAGTAAATAAACGCTAAAATCCAAAATATACAGAAAGGGGAAAAACTGATTTCTTGCAAAGCTGCATGGATCTCATCTGTTTGTTCTAGCACCCTTAGATTTAAGTGAATCCCTTTTTTGTGATTTTCTGTGCACTAGGCTGAAGGTAAAGCAAATTTACTTACATCTGTCTGTCTGTCTGTCTGTCTCTCTCTCTCTCTCTGTGTGTGTGTGTGTGTGTGTGTGTGTGTAAAGCAAATTGCTTTCCTTCACTTGGAAAATAATTTTTGACAGATATATTGGAGGTTTTCCTAGCTGCAAATGTTCATTGCATGTAGTTCACACACCAGTGTCCACTCTGTGTTTGTGTATGTGGTTTTCAAAGTTTGCCTGAAGTGATTTCCATTTTGCCCTGAGTGCTATGAAGTGGTGACAACACCTGCCTTTGACTTGTCCTCAAAATAAATGACAGCTACAATATAATATCTCATCCTCATCCAGTTATGGTCTTTTGTCTCATGCTTGCCTCTCAAGGAAATTACTTTCAGTGGAACTTTTTGTGGGACAATTAAACCTAAGGCAACTTTCCAAAAATATTTCCAAGAAAATTGCAGAGTCTATATGTGTATAATCTTTCTAAAGTCTTAGATAGACTGCCTGTAATTTTTAGAAGATAGAACTGCTTCTTCTATCTGATAATCACTGTTTTCTCTTGAGTGGCTTTTTTCATTCTGTGGTGTGGCTTTTCCAAAAGAGATAATCTTTGAAAATGCGGGTGTGGTGAAAGAATAATTTGATTCTGAATCCACTTGTAGACTTAAATGCATCACTTTGAAATGCCTAGAAATGTTAACTGCTCTGCAAAAGAAAATGTGTCCTCAAGAAGACTGGTTCCAATTTCCTTTTTATATCCTTTTTTAACATCCAGGAGGTGATATAGGTGGAGGTATCTCAGTATATATGTGATGTTTGCATGCAGTTATGTTCATTTAAGAAATCAAGTGAAATATTCAGGCCCTTTCCTGTTGTTTTTCCGTTTTTCTCCTGTTAGGTTGTTTTAGGTTAGGGTGATTAATCGATGCATGATACATCTAACAGTGCTAGTCTATATGCAGAAGTTTTATTTTTGGAATTCTCATAAACTTGAAACAACATAGTATAAAGCTAGTGCAGGATGACAATACTGGAAAAGCAAGTTGAATAGTTACACATACACACACACGCAAAAAAGGTAAAGAAGCGGACAGTGGAGGAATCATATTGTGGGTTTAGTGTAGTCTTTAAAACTATCTTGAAGTGCTGCAGCATAATGCTTTTTTTTCTGAAGTATCATCTGTTGATCTTAAGTTTGTATGACATTCTGAGCATATGGGAATGAGTTTCAGCTTTATCATTTATTCATATTACTTTCCCACAAAGTAAAAAAAAATGTTGACTACATGGGCAATTCTCTGGCAAGTATTCATTGCATCTCAAGAAATACATCTGTGCAAAATGTAATGAACTTTTATTTTTTAAATTACTTGATTTGGGTATAACTTGCTGTGGTGGCTCCTTTAGTGTTATAGGACAGGGGAAGAGGCTGGAAGCGATGGTTAATTACAAAGCTTCCTTAGCCAGATTGATATATATCAAGAGTTTTCAGTTTTATTTTAGGGCATGGAATATCTTGGCTTTGGGGGGAAAAATAGCCTTAAACATATATACTTTTTAAGGGGCAATTCCTCCTACCAGAACAATCTCTTCCAGAGAAATCCAAGGCATTTGTAGAAGCTGAATAAATGTTGCTAAGCTTGCTCACTCAACTTCTGGTGGCCTACTGTAAGCCAGTTGTTTGCACTGTGTCCTGAAAGATACACAAATCCTTCAAGCTTTTTGTATTCTCAGAAGTGCCTTGTTCACAACAGAGTTTCCAGGACAGATTAGCAAAGAAAGCAAATGCAGCAAGCAGCTTTCCAAAACTCTCTCTGTGTATTTGTGTAGCAAATACCCAACCATTGCTTTCCTTAGAGCGAACACACTTCACCATCTTACCAAAAGATTTTTGAAGGAGTAGGTTAAAAAAAAAAGAGCTTATTTTGAATGCCCCTTCTTTTAAAATGTGGTTATTATCTAATTATGGCTCCAAGCCTTCTCTGACACTTACTGGGCTGTGAATGTTTGCTTGTAAGCTGCACGGTTTGGCTATCTGAATTTTTGTGAATGAAGTAGATTGCTTTGTGTTAATTTGCTTGAAAAGTGTTTGACATATCCTCAACATCAGGTTGACTACGGAAAAGAATTGGACTTTATTTGTTAACATTTTGAAGGTAAACCTTTTAGGGTCAATTACTTCTTTAACACACAAAGCCATAAAGACAACAAAAATCTTATTTAAAAATGGCTATCATATGTACTTACTCGATACTTGCACTTAAAGATAAAATACAGAAGGAGATAAGTAATTTGGAATATTCCATAAAGTGAATCACTCTAAGGATAGGGTAGCCACAGCAATGAGTC